AAACAGTTTCTAAGACTTTGAGGTGCGTGGGACCTGCATTATTCCTTTGGAAAACAAAAATTTGAAACTGATCGTCTGTTATTTTTGCCAACTTGACACATAAAGCAACAAGGACGGTCAGTAGTAGATGCAATCGCATACAGCGTTGTCAAAGTTCTGAGGGGGTTTTTCGCGAAAATCTGAGCTTTTCGTGGGAATTCCCTTATTTGCTTTGGCTTGGTCAAACCCCTAGACGTTGTGGAACTTTTGGACAGTTTTGTAATTTTTTTGGAAAAACTGTCTTCACTTGTTTAATGTTGGATGTATGAGTGGCCACATGAGGCCTGAAACGTGGCCAAACGGTTGCCGGTGAAGTCGAGGTTGCGGCAGGATCAGGCGTATCACGAAGACGAGCATCCTGCGATAAGTTTTCGGATTAATTCAACTAATTGGTCCAAAAACAAGAAACACATTAGCGTCGTCGGTGTTACAGACAGTCGCTTATGGCCGCCAAGAGAGACAGTCATTTGTTACAGTAAATCGGCCATGGCGTGCGTAGCTATCTTGTCTGCTCAGCTGTTTAACGAAACTCGTATGTCACTCATTTCCGATGCAAAACCTCCTGTGATGTCGCTACACTTCTTGTTATTGTTTCCACTGGCGAAAAAAACAAACTTGTACATGCAGACATGATAATCTGTATATTTAGCTGCTTTGATTATAGTCAGCTATGCTCGTTTGTTTCGCCATACGTTTCCTTTCCAAGGAGCTCTTTAATAAATCATCGTGTTAGGGAGAGTTAATCATGAATTGCCGACTTTTTCTATTACTTTTTCATTGGTAATGTTCAGGTTGAGGCGGCTTTCGTGCGGCACGTCAATACCGAACTTGTCGCGAATTTTCACCAAAAAAGAAAAAACACCGTTCTTAGTCATCAAAGTTTGCAGGCGATTTTTTTGCGCCTGATCCAATTTCTTCTAATCAGGAGCGTTTCCTTGGCGCGCTTCCTTCGCCCCTGCTGCTCAAAAACACACCATCGGCTTGTAGGTTGCAAATACAAAGACTTAAACATCGGCAATTATTCCATTTTATTCTAGAACTAACTAATCGCCCCAGTCGACCACACTTACATCCTACTAATCAATTTTCTAACTGCAGCAACGCATTGCACATCGTCGCCCACACTCTGGCCAATTCCAATCATAATAATAATGATAATAGTTGAAAATGAGCTGAAATTACATGTCGCTGTACTTGTGTCCCTGCTTGAATTCTAATGCCGTATATTATTAACACAAATAAGCCGCATAATAAGACATTTAAATAGGATGACGTGCGAGGTGTGAAAGGCTCTTTGAATTTGTCGTAAATGGCAATCAGCAATTCCCCAATGGGCGTCGTTTGTGAAAAGGTAGTGCCGTGTAGGTCTTTAATTAGAAATCGTCTAGGGATTTAATCGTCGTTGTACAATTTCTGCATCCCGACCAGTAAAGAGAGTTTGGAAAAATATTGATGCAAAGGAAAATTGCTCAACAACTTAAGGGAGCAATGGAGCTTGGAGGCTCATAACTCAGAAAGGGTTGGAACTACATAAAAGGTCATTAGAACGTTTTTGATAAAGTGTCTCAAAAGCTACGTTTCGCTCTTAGATTTTTGGCAAAAAATGTAAATTATTACAACGCTAGAAGCAAAAAGGTGCATTTTTTAAGCGGTCATCGAAGTTTAAACGGCCAAATCTACAAAACGGCCGAAAAATCCAATAAAACTTGGTTGATAGAGCGTCTCCAAAGCTCTCGTTTTTTCGACTCTTAAGTCAGATATCCCAAGCTTAAAGAACTTAGATGACAAAATTTCATCGGCCTTTGAACTTTGCAAGCTCAATTCCGCAAAACTATCGTAAAAATCAATAGCACACTTTTTATAGAGCGTTTAAACAAGTATCTATTTCTTAGCAGGTTTTAACTAAAAAATCCGATCGTTTACGAATTTATATACAAAAAACCACAAATTTTAAGCGGCGATTGAAGTTTGAAAGTCAATTTTTCTAAAATGGTAAATTTTGATTTATTTTCCTGTCTTCGTGTAATTGTTATTATATTATTTTCTTTCCTGGGCTGCAGTCAAAGTGTGAAACAAAAATGTGTATATTGTTCACTTCATTACGTTTCGGCGAGACAACAGCGCCATCATCAGATTTTTAAATTCATACAAA